TATTGCTTCAGTTTATAATCGTAACAGATCGAAATGTTCAGATTCATTTTCAATAAATGATGTGCTTCCACAAACAACAAACAACATAATTATTGCCTTCAAACAAATTACTTATAGTAGATAAAGTACATTATTCAAAAGTTTACATTAACTTTGGATAATAACACGGGAGAAACGGATCCTCTCTTTTCCCCTCTCCCTCCCTCTCTCTCCTGACAGCCCGTCAGTTTCTCATGCAGCTCCGTGCAGCTCGCTAAACAGTGGGCGGGGCTTCAGGTGATCATGCAGAGCTGCGTGTCTCCGTCAGACTCAGCAGCTCTGCTGATCTCTCTCTCTCTCTCGAGTCCGTACTTCACTCGCGTTTATGTCCATATCGATCAGATCCAGCTCTCCTGATCGGCCTTTATAGAGAGCACCGATCAAACTATTAAGAGTGAATATCAGCCGATAATGATCGGCGGCCAATCGATTGGAGCATCCCTAATTATTACCGGACATTTTGACCGGCAGGTTTTTAATTGACCAGTTTTTAATAAATGTTACCAGCTAAAAACCGGTAATTACCGGCTAACGGAAACCCTGCAATAAACATTGTTATAACATGCTTGGCACACATAATCTTCCCTGTGGTGTTTCTGTAAAAATAAAAGGATGTATTATGAGCAAAAAGGGATTTTTTAAAACTGCTGTCATTTTGTGTTCAGATTCAGCCCTTACAACAAAGCTAAAAGAAGTGGCAGTGTGTATGCTATGTGTTGACAACTTCTGTAGTTGCCAGAGCTCAATACATTTTGTCAAATAGATATCATGATTTGATTGAAAGGTATATCTCTATTTTGAGTCAGCTGTTACACTTAAACACAAGCTTGGTGTTGCTATGAAGCAGAATTAACAGAAGTTAGAATAGAACAGAAAGATCTAGAGTTCGCTAAAAGTAATAGATATAGGGATATATCCTAAAAGTAATAAATAAACAGTTTACAAAAAGTAAACTTAAAGTAAGGCATTAAAGGTTGAAAAGTCCTCCGTGTGCATAAGGTCCAAACAGACTATGAAAACATTAGTGTATGATATCTTCTTTCATATAACCAGCATCCAGTTTAAGATGATTGACAGGTGGTGTCAGTGAAGGGGTGCTTGAGTTCATATGGCACGACCGTTGGGATAGCTATGGAAAAAAATCTACTGTATACATAGTGGGTTCTAGCCAAATAGAGAATTCTAACATAAAAAGAAGACGTCATATATTTCACTCTTGCCGAGATGTGCTAAAATAACCCAGTTTGTTTTTAGCTTTGGCTGAACAACACTGGCAGTCCACACTGAGAGCTGCTCTGCTAACAGGAGGTGGAGACTGGTACATTTGTGTACATTTCTCCACACACATAATCTGAACTGAAATGAGAGCAAGGATCTGAGTCGTGTTGCTGGAATTTGACCCTGCAAAGGGAAACGTTTGCACATAGGGAGATATTGATAGTAGGCAGAGCTGTAGCGGCTTCACTCTCAAAGGTTGTATGCCGATCCCTCCCTGGGTTTATATGATGTGTGGATTTTATTTTTTCCTGGCACCTCTTTGTGAAATTGCTACGTTGTTGTACTCTCAGCATGATTTATCTTTACTGCAGATATTGTATCTACGTTACGTGAGAGCAGGGAAGGACTCAGTATGGACCTCTACTCAGAAGCTTTATATTTTCCTCAGTGTATCAAATGTATTTTCCTCTCCCACAGAAAATATTGTTTGATCTATTGGGTCCCCGTGGGCTTTGCATGTACCCCCCTGAAAGCGGGTTTTAAATGGAGGATTGTTCATTTTTTATTTGAAGGAAACACGTGGTATGATGAGATGCAGAGGAAATTAAAGCGCAGTGCAGATGAGAATTGAGAGTAGATCAAAACTAGCACACCAGGATTCAGTGTGAGTAAGGGGAGAGAGGGAGGGATGGATGGATGGAGGGAGGGTGGGTGAATACGAGGGGCAACCCCCCTTTCTAGACGAGGGATTCCTTTACTGCAGTGATCAGCAGTCCCCCCCCCCCTCCTCTCCTCCCAGCAAGTCTACTGCTCCTGTCCTCGCTCCCTCTGCTTTTCATCACACTCCCTCTTCTCATCTCTCCCTCCCTTCCTCTGTTTCCCTTCATCTCTCTTTTCTTGCCACCATACTACTCACACGGTACAGTCACGTTTCTGTGTCTGCTGCAGGGTACAGTATACGCAGCACATGGATAGAAATGCACTTTGTGAATCACACCGTTTTACTCCAGTCTTCATTTCTCTCCATCGCTCCCTTGCTGCCGCTCCATTTATCCTTGCATCCTCTCTCCTCTCCTCCTCCACACCTCTTTCACTCCTGCAGCTCATCTGTCCATCTTCCAAAGCCGATGTTGATTGCCCGTTTTCTTACTCTCTCCCTCTCTTACCCGTATGACATTGATTCCAAGGTTGCTGTGCTATTGACTGCTGCTTTGCTGTTAAATATTTCAGGCAGCCTTTCAGTGGCTGTGTGCCGAGGGATAGAAGGAGGAGGAGGGGGGGCGGGGGTCTCGCTCAGGCGTTCTGCAACTACCGCTGACACACAGGCTGGTGAACAGACGGGTGGACACAAACACATACACACACACCACCTGCACACAGAGGTACATTCACACGTACATGTCATTCTGCTAATGGGTGTACATGCAAACCAGCCCCCTATTTGTGGGAATGAGGAGGGGATGTTGAGGGTATTTTGGCGACATCTTTCCTCCAGGCTTCAAGCAGCTGAATTTAATGAACGAGCGGAGCAGTGCAGACTGTGCAGATATTCCAGACCGGCCAAAACGCCTCTCTCAGCATGTCATCTGATCAGCAGCCTGTTTGGGCTCTACTTGGTGCCACGGGACATCATTTAGCATTCTCATTTAGGACACACACACACACACACACACACACACACACACACACACACACACACACACACACACACACACACACACACACACACACACACACACACACATCTGTCGTCTTTGGCCTGATGGTTTGTAAAAGACACAATTTTAACAATTCTGAAGTGAGGACACATACATATCTCTGGAGCTCAGTTTAAAGTGGATCTGCATCACTGCTGCATTTTTTTTCTCCACATTTTCTAATCTCTGCTTTTTACAAAAATAGAAAATAAAGTTTTCAAGAATCGTTTGATTTCTGATTCAGCAAGAACACTACAAATGTGTATATCAGCAAGCCCTCCGTCTGTGGCCGCTCACTGAGCCTCTGCGCATAGGCAGTGTTGCATTGAGGATGATGAAAACAGCAGTGAAGAAGATCCAGAGCTGACAACAGACTGGTTAGCACCTCGTTACTAATTAATATCAGTCTTTGGCAGCTATTGACAATTCAAAGCATTTTTCATGGTTCTAAGGGACAGTTGTTTGTGTTTATCTTAACATTGACCCCTCCACAACGGAGATGAGATGATTGGCAGACACATTCCCTGATCGACATCCTGGACTTTAACCAAGAGTGTTTGATTGGCGGCTGTGTTTGTCAGGTAGATGCTTGATTTCCCTGACATATCGTATTTTGTCTGCCTTTATTGTAGGATGAACCATACAAGGCTTTGAGAATACTATAGAAATGTGACCCGCCAATTAAACATGATATACTTGTTGAGGTCCATGCAGTCACTGTGCCCTCTCATGTGTCATACGATGGATATTAGCATCTTGAGTTTCCTTTGTTGTCGCACGTATCACAGGACATCTGTACTGCGGTGGTCCACCATTTTCTGGCTGTCTAGTGAATAAATGCCGTGATAGGTAGACAGGTGTTCAGGTAGCTTCTGTTTTGCTCACTCCTCCGATTCCAGGAAGCATATGTTCGCAGTGACAGCATGCCATATACACTTCAGTGCACACATCCCTGCATATACACCTGCTCTCCCCTGGGATAACTGTTCAGTGTCTTGGGTCTTAAAGGATATGTTAGTGACGAACATTGGATTTTGACCGAGTGACAGTCAGATTGTGTGCATGTCATAAATCTGTTAACCATCTGTTTTAAAGCATTGACAGTGTGCAAGACGCCCTGTTCCTCCAGAGATTGAAAGGTTAATGAATGTGTGATTTAGTGGTTGATGCTCTGCTCCCATAGGGGAACGTATGCGTTAACATATCAATTTGCAGAACTACGGTGTCTCAAACCACGACAAATTGGAAGAGAAACAGATCCTTTTTTTGAGGTTTGAAAGCGAATTGTGTCTGCGTTTGTGCCCTTAACTAAAAATGAATCTCTGTTTTCGCCCCCTGGCATTCTTTCTTCTTTCCGATATCCTCATCTCTGTTCTTTCTGTGTAGTGTGAGGAGATCTGGCAGCACGATAATGCTTCATCGCCGCTCAGCATAAAATGTGACGAGTCCTGTAATTCGAAGCATGTGCCGACACTCCTACTTTGCTGGGTGTACACTAGCAACAGAAGAAAAAAAAGAGGGTTTCCCCAAGCTCTGCTCCTCTGATCGTAATCCTTCTTCCCTCCCTCCCCCCCTCCCTCACACACTCGCTCATAGGCTGTGACACAACTGGAGAATTTATACTGAGATACATTCATGCTGCGATACATTCATGCTGCATTTGGCTGCCTTCTCTCTGTGTCTCCCACTGTGGTGGATTCCTCCAAGTGGGGGTTTTCTGTGCCCGAGCACTGGTGTATTTAGATGTGGGTTTTTTTATGCGTCAACCCCTTTGTGAAATATTTCCGTGACCGTGAAGCTGCAGTTGGATCTGCACTTCTTGGGTGGGGCCTGAATGTCTGAACATTTCTAGAAACTTACACAAAGGGAAGCCATTTTGTAACGTAATACACAGTCAGTCCTGCACATTGAGAATCAGAGAAGTAAACGGGACAGAGTAAAGTCATGTTGCCGAGTGTCACACCGTCACACTTAACATTAGATATAAAAGATCTGTGTACAAATGGAAAAGAACAGCTTTCTGCCCTTCTCTCTTTCTGCCTGCAGGTTTGGAGGGGCGCCCCCACATGGCACGGCCAAAGACTGTTGTGTTCCTCCGCCACTCCAGACGGTAAGTCCTCATCCTAGTTCATCCACCTTATTTCTGTCCACACCAGCAATATCAAGGATTTCCCCCAATCCAGCCTCTTTCTCCTCGCTCGAGATAAATGAGTTCTGTTATTAAAGGAATTCCGCATTGATCAGACAACGACCCGAGGCTCGTTTGGAATTAACAGCCAGAACTCATTCATATGGAATCTGTCACGGGGAAGCATCTGCTCATCTGTGTGAGAGGCGGGAGAGATGGAGAGCGTTAACCAGAGGGAGGAGGCAGCACTGCATAACATGCTGGTTTTTAAAAGTGTTCCTTGATAAATGTAGGATAGGACCTTCACACTTTAAGCAGTGTGCCTGAGGAGAAAGGGAACAGGTGCAGCTGTGACACTGTGGATAAGGTTTCAAATTGTCACCATAACAGAGGAGTGGGATGAAATAAAATGTCTGCATCTCTGCGTCTCTGAACATGGTCAAGAGGCCCTTGCCGGCTGATTCCCTTCTGAGCCCAAGCACAGATCTGCTGATTCACTGCAGTGGACACGCAGGAACACATTGTTGGGTGCAGCAGCAACAAGGCAGCTCAAATCACCTCTACCACACACACACACACACACACACACACACACACACACACACACACACACACACACACACACACACACACACACACTCACAGCCCTCTCCATTTATTCGTGGCTCTGTCATTTGGGGCTACTCAGCACGGTAATGGCTACAGCTGTGTGCCCTTATTATAACCATAGTTTGGTTACGCACCATAAGAGCTGGATTACAGAAAAATATAGTGCCACTAAGCAGAAACTCAAAAATAAAACACAAGTTCTTAGGGTCGTGCTACAGCACAGAAGGAACTGCACACTTAAAACTGAAACACATTCAGTTGAGTCCCAGGGACTCATTCATTTCATTCTTCTTATTTTGTTGCTGCTATGAAAAACCAAAACATTTCATGCATTGTGGGTCTTCCTGATGGTCAGTCCCAGCACATACGCATCATTTGGAGGTCTTCCTATGAGAGTAACAAATATCAATAGTTGGCATCAAGGAATCGACATAACAGCTCTATGAGGGAAAGGTTAGCAATATTATGCCGTATTGATTTGGCAAAAACAGCTGTCAGTGTATTTCTTTGTTTATTGTGTGGGAGCACTGATGTTTGAGATTTAGTCTGTTGAATCAGGATTTATGTAAGATTTACGAATAATTCTGAATAAGTTTGCAGATACTGTATGCATTTAACACAATCTCAGTAAGTGCTACTAACATAGATCCATTTGTTTATTTATGTCAACTTGAATAATTGCTGACTATTCTGATATTCAATTTATCGTTATTAAGTAATTTTCCAAGTCCAAATAATCTGATTCTAGCTTATAAATGTAAATATGTGCTGCTTTCTTTACTCCTATATGAGTAATATATATCGTGTGGCATTTAATGTGTGGCAATGTGTGAAAGATATGGTCATAGTACAGGAATTTAGGTTAACATAATTTATTTTACGTTGAATAAATGCATTGAACATTGTGTTATGTTTAGAAGCAGAGTTATCATTATAGCTCATCTGCACCTTCAGGTGTCATTTTAAATTGTCATGTTCTTGCGTGCCCCCCCCCTCAAAGAGGTGACAGTGGTGTATCAGAATGGGCTGCCGGTGATCTCAGTCAGTTTGCCGTCCCGGCGAGAGCGCTGTCAGTTCACCCTCAAGCCTCTCAGCGACAGTGTGGGAGTTTTCCTGCAACAGCTCCAAGCCGAGGACAGAGGCATCGACCGCGTAGCCATCTACTCCACGGGTACGCACACACACACAAGTACTGCACACACACACACTCCTGCTGCATCCATTTACCCCAGCAGGTTGTTCATATACAAACTTGAGATCTTACTCTTTAGTGTGTAATTGCCCTCCCTTTCCACTCATGATAATCGGACAGCCTGATTATCAAGAGACGTGGAGGGTGTTTGAAGTGGTTACCCATCAGCGCTCCTTCTTCTCACCGCCCCCCTCTTCACATTTGTCTCTCTCTGCAGATGGAGCGAGGGTCGCCTCCTCCACAGGAATAGACATCCTGCTGCTGGATGATTTCAAGCTTGTCATCAACGATACCACACACCTTGTGCGACCACCACGGAGAGGTGAGGACTGTCAAAGAGATTTAGGGGAGAGTTATTGTTTTATTGCCATCAGATGTGTTGTATTAAAGCCTGTTTATGTGAATGCATTTCCTTCAGAGCTACTACCCCACGAAGAGGGAGAGAGGCTGAATGACGTCAAGTTTCTGGTGCAGCAGCTCTACACCACCCTACGCATCGAGGAGCACCAACTCAGCAAGGAACGCGAGCTGATTGGACGACTTGAGGACCTCAACTCTGAACTCCGCCCCTTAGAGAAGGTCTGACTTCTTTATCCTCTTTACTAGACTCATGAATAATCACAAGGCATTTCACCAGCCAACCAAGTGTTTGATAAATAATTGAAGGTGACTCAGCAACTAAACAATTTGCTCAGTGAAAGCCAAAGGAGCTGCTCTGAATTTCCTCTCATCTGCATTAGTTCAAGATATCAGGCCGTTTTTCCAATCAGCCTTTAAGGATTACCACTCAAAGTCTGACTAGCTGAGCCAACCTGATTTTGGATAAGGGTCTCTGAAGGGTTTAATCATGGCTGCCTTGGGCCTCTATTCTTTTTACAGCTGAAAATCAATAATGCTTTCTTCCTCACTACATTCTCAATACATCTCCACTTCCTTTTGATCCAGCTGACTCTTTTGTTCTTCTTGTTGTTGACTTCTGCGCAGATGAGGGTGGATCTGAATAGGAAGGCAGAGCGGCGTACCACCTTGGTGATGTGGGGGGGCATGGCGTACATGGCCACCCAGTTTGGCGTACTGGCCCGACTCACCTGGTGGGAGTACTCCTGGGATATCATGGAGCCCGTCACCTACTTTATCACCTACGGCACGGCCATGTTCATGTACGCCTACTACGTGCTTACTCGCCAGGTGAGAAAAAAACAAGACAAACACACAAATATATACAGTATGCATAATTAATGATTGAAGTGAAGTTTGATTGCATCTTCTGCTGCTGTGAGGGTGAGGAATGTTATGATGACATCAATCTTAACAATCAATTATTGATTGTCTTGTTTGCTATGTGGGTGTTGTGAACTGGGGTTGTATGAGGTGTTTGTCCATAGGCGTAGTATTACTTATTGTGTTACTTTGTTGATTTAAAGGATTGGTTTGAACTCATCAAATTCACACAATTACTCAATCTTACTAATGGTTGCAGTAACCGCCATATTCTGCAAGGAGATAAATATTGTGATTGCACAAGTACTCTGGGCGCTTTGGATCTTTAGTTAGAAGGGCTTTGTACACCCTATAAACCCACTTTAAAAATCCAGACTATTCTATTTAAAGGGGCCCTACTTTACTAATCTTTAGGTTTCATGATTGTATTTTGTGTCTCTGCTTTGACATGTTTACATTCTTTAATGTTCGAAGTGATTTATTTCCCTTACTTTTCCCCTTAAGTCTGAAACCAGAGCCCAGTCTGCTCTGATTGGCTAGCTGGCTGACTCTGTTGTGATTGGTCAACAGTTGGCCAACCCCTTAGCCTATCGCGTACAATGTGTTGTAGTGCTTGCTAACTGAAGGGCGAGTGTTATGTAGTGATGCCACTATGTTGGGGAAGTAAATAAAGGATTCCAATTGAGGCGTTTCAGGCATTCATAAAAACCTATTTTACAACCTATAAAAACGCATAATAGGGCCCCCAATATAAGGTAATGCTTCCTCTTAACTTTTGCCAATGAAAAAAAAGCAATCTGAACTTATATAAATTGTATTTAATGACATTATGTATACTAAAGGTTTAGCTGATTCATCGTAAGGTTATCACCACATTAATCCTATTTATAACCTAGTGGGAACAGTGTTGTTTTTTTTTTTTTTACTCTATCCAAATAACGTGACACTATCGATTCCTTTAGAGAAATTGTCTTCTATGACATTCTGCAGAAACTCTTTGAGCAACCAGAGAACAAGCATTACGGTAATGGAATTCTCTCTTAGCTGCACCCTGCATTAATTAGTATTATGTTTAGCTATTTACAAGGCTGGTCTGGTGGCAGTGTTGCCCTTCACTAAGCATTCATTAATATCCGCTGTCTTCTAACTCCCAAGGACACAGAGTCCATTTTACGTTGCATTTCTCCGTGTTGGGATTTGACCCAAGTAACAGCAAGCAGAACATGGACGATATGATCTGATAATCGTGTTTCTCTTACAAACTTCTCTGTCTGTGCTTCTCCATAACCTGTAGGAGTATATTTACCCCGACGCTAGAGACAGACAGTATCTGCTGTTCTTCCACAAGGGGGTGAAAAGGACACGCTTTGACATCGAGAAGTACAACCAGCTGAAGGATGATATTGCTGAGGTACAGTTGCTAGATATCTTGTGATGTAAAATCACACTGGGGATTCTCACATTTTTACAGTTGAATACTGTAACTGCTGTACAAAGAAATGTTTTCATCCCCGTTCCCCACACTCTCATATTTCTTCTCTCCTCGGCTCCCCCCCCCCAGGTGGAGTTGGATCTGAAGCGTCTTCGGGACCCGCTCCAGCTCCAGCTCCCAGTCCAGCAGCTCACCTCCAGTAAAGATTGATGGGAAAAGTGACTCCCTCCTCTCTCAGCTCCTGCAACCTCCTTTTCCTCCTCCCTCTTCCGTCCAACACCCTCCTCCCTCCCAATTTACCCCAAACTCTCTCCTCCGACTCCTCCATCCCTCCCCCATCCCTCCCACACCCAATAACCCCATCCCTTTCTCGACTGTGAGAGTTAGTTTTTCCCCCCTTTTTTTTTTCCTTCTTTTTTCTTTTTTTTCTTTCCTGACTGAAAACTCCAGTTGGAATTGCAAGAGGATAACCGCTAAAAAAAAATCGAAGATAGGATGGCGAGAGTACCGGGAACTTGAAAAAACTCTCCCAGCCAAAGGAAGGGTGAGGATGATGAAAAGGACAACGATGATGAAGGAATAAAACTGGGCACTATGGATACGCCTCAAGTCTCCGGAGGGACAGCCTGCAGGGAACTTCAGGGGGCAAACAGGACTCATTATCACACCTCTAGACACAGAGGGGCGCTGATTGTGGAGTGTGTGTGTGTGTGTGGGGGACTTTCAGGGTACAATGGGACACCGACCCTGGCCGATTCGAGGGTCGACACACCCGCTTAATCCGGCTTCCTCTTGCAGTCAAACTGTCGACACACACACCTTCTCTTGGTTGGGGCAGGAGTCTCTATCCCACACGTTTACAAGGAAGTCCTGAATGTAGTCGCACCACCAGGGGACCTCCGTCTTCCTGTGGCTGAACTCTGCTGCCTCTCCCTCCCTGGGCCCCGCCTTCTCCAGGTGACGGACAGCTGTCCCTCCCAGTGTGACCTTTCCTTGCAGGATATAGGCATGACGACGCCTCGTTTCCTCTTCCTGTTGACGTCCTGTAGCGGCCCGGGTCTGCGCAAGTATGAGAGTACTACCGACAACAACATCACTGTGTGTTCTTTTACTCCGAAAAAAATATTTTGGCACTTTTTATTTTGAAAGCCATAGTATATTTGTTATGAAAAGAATATAAATATATATATGTATACAATCAAATAAACAGATGACCAGAGGCTAGTTTTTTTCAGTGGGGGGAGGAGCTCTCTTACAAACATAATTTCATCAGAAACTACTAACTTACATCCTCTGGAGATCTTCTGCCATGAAGGGTCCTCTGCTAACAGTCCAGCACACACACACACACACACACACACACACACACACACACACACACACACACACACACACACACACACACACACACACACACACACACACACAGAGCAGTATAAAGTATGTATTCACTACTAACTATTTCATATCTTGTCCTGACAAACACACAACGTATTTCACAGTAACTATGGCATGGCCACCAAAGGAGGGGAATCTATGTTGAAATCAGGGTGAAAATGACTGATCGGAATTGATTTTGAGCAACGCAGAATGTCGATGTGGATAATGCCATGCTTGACCTCAATAATCATCTCTCAAACACAAAAAATGCTGCGGAAATGCTTAATGAAGGGGTTAAAATGTGCAGTGACCATTGTCTCATAGAAACCCACAGGCATGTTTATATATCTGATGAACTGAGTGGCTTTAGAAACGAGTAAAGCCTCATTATACAGCAGGAGTAATCCGCCTGCAATCCTTTTCCCACAATATCATATATATAATTTCTCCTTTCCCAATCCAAAGTCTTGTTCTTGGAGGTGAAAAATGATCATTTCCAGATATTCAGTGACCTGGCCTTTAGCTTAGCAGCATGTGATGTGCTTTTCAACATAAGATTTGTATAGGATTCTCCTTCACAAAGCTTATAGACAAAGTAACAGAAGGCTGAATCTAAAAAAAAAAAAAGTGTCATGGCATTTATTCAGAGGCTTTTATTTTTGTTTTCTCCTCCCACTGTTGCTATAACGCCCCCCTGCTCCCTCGAAGGCAGGGTAGACTGCATGCTGTGGTATGCCCTCAGTAGAAATGTGTGAATGTGTAGGAGCATTATTGCAATTTTGTACTTAATTGGAAACTTTTCTTTGCCACATCTAGCTGAAGTCTCACCCTCCCCCCTGATTGAGGTGAATCAGAAGCCATATGTTACATTTTTTTCCATTTTGGGATGGTCACTGAATAAACCGTTGTTTGGCTTTACTTAGCTTTCTGTTCTGAAGACTTCACCCATAACTGCTGTAGATGGCCTCTGCAGAAAAGCAATGACTTGACATCCCCTGAACATGAACATCGTGCATGTGTGTCTCGTGTGGACAGTCGGCTGAATCCTACTGCAGAGATCCATGTTTAACTGCAGATTTTGTATTAAAATGCATGATTTTAGGTCAAATCAGAAGTTATTCATGCAGATCTCAAGGCAGGAGTTGGTCATATCTGTTAGTGTGTGTATGTGTGTTTTATCTCCAAGGAAATTGGTGCCTCTTGGATGACTAATCATTTAAAAGGTAGATAATAATTAAGTTATCTGTAGAAAAGCAATGATATGATCATTGAGAAAGTAATTATCTTATTTGGAATGCACCTTTATTCAAAGGAAGGGTTACATTTACATTTTTGAGAGTAGAAATCAACTTTATTGTGCGCCTTTGAATGCATGTGTTGGTTTGATACACGTCTTGACAAGTTGGTGCATTGTGGGCAAAGTTTAGATCATTCATGAATCCTTTGCCTCTAACCACTGACTGGTAGAAAATAAATTCCGCCCTCATCCCACTTCATGGCAGCCATCACACACACACACACACACACACACACACACACACACACACACACACACACACACACACACACACACACACACACACACACACACACACACACACACACACACACACACACACACACACACACACACACAGTGACGTTGGTGTTTCCTTGGAGATGTACTGTGGCAGGTGAGAGAGCCGCCACAACTCACCATCACCCCCTCTTTTTATCAATCCATCCACCGTTTATTGCCTTGTTTTTTTCTCATTTCTTTTTTAAAAAGCTAAATATATCAAATATAGGGAAACTTTATTATAAAGAGGGTGTTGCATGAATGTATGTTTACATGGGAAATTATGTGAAAATAAAAAAGACGATTTATCAACAAAAAAAATAAACTGCAGAGATAATTTAAGAACGTTGTTTGTAGAGATTCCTAGATATAAAGGGCAGTTGACAGGGCTGCAACTTTAGAAATGCCCTGCCAAATCTGACTTAAATCCCAGCCAACCAACTGCTCAAACCCCACTCCCATCCTCACCTTATTTACTCCCATAAACCCCTCCCTCAGAGTGCATTAATACTCCCCAAATGGAAGGATAAAACACCCTCCATCCTCGATGCACCTGTAAAGGAGGAGACCTCATGACCTCGGTTACTAACGTCCTGGATTTAAGTCCAAAGAAAGTGTCAGGCTTTTTGGGGATCACCTCCCATTCTCGTCCCTCTCTCCCGTCATTTTCATCCACCCTCAGCCTTTTTTCCTCCAAAGCGACATTATTATTCTATGTTTTCAAAGTGTGTTATGTTTTTAATATCTTGTTTGTCTGCACTTACAATAAGATGTTTTAAAATGCCTATAGAGTGACGCAGAATATGAGATTGAAATGAACTTGTACTCCATTCTGACCTCTAATTTTATTTCGTTTTTTCTTGTCTGTTTTTCTTCTGTTGACATGATGCTGTAATGTTGGCAAAAAAGAAAAATGTAAAATCCTGTATCATTTATGAAATATGTATAAAAGAGAAATGTAATTCAATTATCAATAAAATCCTTATCCAGTTTTTGGAGACGGTGGTCCAGTTGACGTTTTTGGTGTTCTCACTGGAAGTGATTAATGGTCATATTTCAGGAATTAACATGAAGCAGCTTCTCAAGGTCTTGACCACCATCTCTGGATCTCCTTGGCCTCCAGCTCTTCCTCTACAGGACATCCTAAGAGATAGACCTGAGAGAATACACTGTTTGTATACAATAGGTAAGTGACGCACAGTTACTAGAAAATAGAAACTTATAAAACGTTAGGAAAAAAATGGAAAGAGAAAGAAGATTTAAGATCCTTCTAAATGTAAGGTAAATATCATTTCAAATAATGCTTTTTTCATTACTAGTTTGTATGCACATGCACATGCTATAGCTACATGCTAATGTCCACATGCTTGTAAAATCTTTACCAATTTTGCCATCTTGCCATCCATTTTGACCGATCATGGTGCTTGATGAAAGTTTGGGGAATCACCAAGGTTTTCATATTTGTCCTAAGGGCAACTTGAACAACCACCAAATTAAATAGATGATAGATAGATACTTGTCTTTATTGATCCAAAAACGGGAAATTCTTGTGTTACAAGAGCAGCAGTGTGTTTAGGCATTACAATATTTAAAATAGATGATTTAAATATCAAAAACTAAACGGCACATTTTGAATGACTCTCCGTTAAATACTGGACATTTCTCTTAAAGGTTCCCTTATTGGTGGCACCAGAGGCAAGGTAAAGGTCAACAAAGTAACAGGCTTCATCCTTTGTGGACCATGATATGTGTTTACAAATGTACAAAATCCATTTCAGTGTTGTCCAAAATGACCGTTTGCATTGACATCCACATGCCTTGCCTCTAGTGGCTAAAAAAACGCTGATACTGCAACACATCACGACAAAAAACCTAAACATTGTCAGTATATTTAGAAAACCAACTTATTTAATCACATAAAAAGTACAGTGAGTTCCACTTTATTCCTTCTAACAGCCTCCTGGATTAATGTCCCCATTGATTTGATTACATATAAGACAAATGACTCTTAATGGAAAGGGCCAAGCTTTAGTCATTTTCTGGCCAGTACTAGTAGTCAAGTAATAAGCTAAATGAGAACATATTCAGTCTACTGGCACAGGGTGTCCTCAGACTACTCTGTTCTGAATCCTGAGTGTGCAAACCTTGCCGTCGCCTTCAAGTGAAAGATGCCTCAGCATGACACTAAACAGATTAATCAAATTGGTTTATTGCTCCTGGAGATTAGATCATTGCTCGTTCTTCCACGTCCTTTAAATCAGGATGGATGAGTCAGAAAATATATGAAGACATGTTTAAAAGTCACTATCTCACTTTTTCACAGCATGACAGCAAAAAATGGTTTGGTGTAGTTTAAGGTCATGTGTGCAAGGAGGGAGGGAGGAGAATGTGAGGACTGTATAGTGTCAAACAATGGGAGGATGGTCCTGTCACTGGATTTAAAGGTCAAGAGGTCAAGGTGGGACAGACTGACAAAATGACACATGCAGATAAGAGGTGCCTATAATAAGAGGATGAACCAATAAAGCTACACAGACATGCATACTCAAACTATCATGGTTTTATGGTTGCTTACCAGTCTGCTGCTGGAGGTTGTTGCCGTTGCAGGTGTAGGTAAGTGTAACATTTCTTATTTGCTCACAAAACAACAGTTTATCTTCTAATATAATATTATTATTTTTTTACCAAAATGAGTTTATTTTGGAAAATATGGTCTTTTCCTCAATGGATTAAATGATAAGACTTGCATACTCTCTTTATATATACATTCTTATTTTCAACAAAACCCTTAAAAAGACCAAAACCAACCAACAATGTGTTAGTACATCATCCAATACTTTAGAACTTCACGACACTCAACCCAAACCTATTTATTCCTACTGAAGTTGCAAGACTTTGAAAGTGCTAGTAGTCACAAATATACTTCAATGAAAATATAAAAAAATTAGGTAATATCCTATAACAGGTCAGCATTGCAGCTTTTAGCAAATGTTACTCAAACCAGGGTTACTATTTTTTTTCTACTTTCAGAAGTGGATTAACACATATTATTTGGTGCTCTTTGATTATTTACAGCAGGAGACTTGGGAATGTCGATTTTCTATTTAAGAATGAAGGTGTTGTCCAGTGTCCTGTGTAGCTCATGTATGTGTTTAAAAATTTTTTTTAACAATACTGGGGGAGAACACAGAGGAATAAAACATAACAGGCTTAGTCAATACATGGAATTAAAGTGTTACGGGTTAAAATGTTGTCCAATTCTTCCCATTATATTTGTAGACGGTGAGAACAATTATAGAATATCTCCAGCTTCATCCTTTAACAAATGATATTAGAACAATAAGGACACTGTCAGCTCTAAGTCTCCATCTGTGCGGAAAAGAAGGCGTAGGCTGACTAAGGTCAGGCTGGCCTCCATGTTCTCTTAATAGCCATAGTAAGTTATTCAAGCTCCATCTGGATGTAAGATTTACACTCCCATTAGCATACACCCGAGTCAGCTCTGTCCACTGCCCTTTGTGAGTTCCTCATGCTGGAACACAGTTGGTCAGTCGTAAGTCTCCAAAACTGGTCGTTTATGCTGTCAGTGAGCCCCGGCCTGTGGATGGATCCCTCTGCTTGCATTGGAGCAGCAAGTAGAGACACAACGCAATGTCCATTAGTCGATGGAGGGTCAAAATGATGTGTGGTGACATTATTTGTGGTTGAAAAATGTGTCTCACAAAAATATTTATGTATAGCTTCTAGGAACTAAACTGCAATTCGGTTAATGTGAAAGCACATATAAGAAAGGGTTACTGTAAACCTCTAGTCAACTTTTATGATGTCCAACATAAAGCACTTTTCAAACAAGGTACAGGAAAGCATAAACATGGATATTTTATGTAGCAATCCAACTACATTGGAAAGCCTAGAGTTTGGTTACAGTGGTGGTTAGTGCTCCAGTAAAGTGTTATGTGCTAGTTGTCAGCTGTCATATATTCTGGCTCCTGCCTGTCACTAAAGATACTCTACTGCCTCTCGCTGTTTCTTCATCCTGCAGATTCTCAGTGATTAACATGTTCTCTCTCTCTTGCCCACTTTAGCCTCACATCTTCTTGTTCTTTTCTGTTTGTTTTATGTCTTCATCTTAATTACTCTGTTGAGAGGGAATTAAGAGAGTAAGGGAGAGACTATTGATTGTTTTTGCTGCACTAGTTTACTCTGCTCATTCAGTTGTTGTTCGGATTCTGCAAAGCTGGCTTTAGTGAAAAAAGTCAGCACTGACAGGACTGGATAAAGAGTTATTTGTCGATACTTTGTTTACTTCCAGTTCAATTTGAATAGACCCTGTGTTACAGTTTATCTTGACGGTTCAAAGGTCTGCTTCATGGTTACAGGTTTGCTGCAGTATAGATTGGATGCAGTGCTGTGATTTGAACCTTTCTTAAAGGTCACTTCAACAAAATTACATCAGCAATAATAGAAAGGAGGACTTTAAACTAAGGTGTCTGACCAGATTACAACAGGGATGTTTGTGTTTGGGACATATTTAACCCTAGAATGCCATTTTTGTATTGCCTTTTTTTTAAATGTAACATTTACCACCAAAACTTTAATTTCATCCATTTTATCAACGTGTAACCAGAAATCCCTAAAACCTACAACAGTAATAGAAATATATCTGTATGGACGTACACGAATAAAGTAATACTAGTGACAGGTAGAGTTTAGAACTTAGCATTGCATTCACAAAACTTGTTTGGATTTTTATTTATTTTTTAGATTAGTATTACAGTATCAAAACTAAAAGTTGTTATTAGTCTACGCTAGAATGTAGCCTTTACTCAGGGGTAGACATTAAGGGTAAAATTCCACTTATCACTCACTGGCCCCACCATTGTAACCACTGGCCCAAGAGCATTCGTCCAAAAATAAAATCGACGAATAATGAAGAAAATTAAGACATTCTTTGCAATAGTAATGTATGCACAAACTACATATAAAGTCCCATGACATATGTCACCCTGTACCGGTTCCATAAGAAAAGGCTGAGGTTGGAGAGTCAGGGATCAAAATCACCCCAAAGAGTAGGCTACTGGACACCAAAGAAGGTGTTCTCAACAGAGCAAGAGATGCTTTTGAGAGACTACCTGATGGAGGCAGCTGATTTACTATGGTCTCAGCTCAAAGGAGGTAGGTCTACATAATTAAGGTAGAATAGGCTATCTATACAGATGGAAGTCACTTTTACACCTGCCACAACTGTGAATCAGATTAATTCCATCTGTGTTCTGTTTTAAGTTCTGGTCATTGTTCATTGTTTGTTGGAGGATGTGTGAAACCCCATTAAAATCTTGTTGCCTTAGAATTTGACAGCTTTCCCTCTTTTTTGTCATGTAGTGTGAAAAAAGGTAACCGTTATTAACATGTTACAACCTTCCCTGGCATGTGTTACAACTGTCCCTGTACACAGGGTTGTAACATGTGTCAACTACATTGTTTCAGTAGTTGACACATTGAGAATGTATAATATAGCAAAATGGCTATCCTAGTGTAAATGTTTTTTTACTTATTGGGGAAAACCCAAAAAGTGTTACAACTGTCCCTGGTCTCCCCTACGTTATGCTGAGCCAGCTAAATAGTGCGTCCGGGCCAGCGGGCCATTTATAATGTCGAGCCCTGCTTTACTGTACAGTATATTGCTGTTAATGGGTCATTTTAGCATTAACATTTAAGCAGCTAATTATTTAACCCATATACTGTACTAGTGGATTACTTAACCCATTTGAAGGCATCAAAATATATGTTTTATATGTATGGCCTTAAACTGAAAAACTGACTGAGCTTTGAAATTTGATAGACAATAAATATAGAGTAGCTTAAAATGGAAATACTCACGAGTAGTGACTCTTAATGTTTTCCAACCCTCGTCTCTGGCTCATCCTCATTCTCTTAAAACACACATTTACATCAAATCCATATTTGTTTCCCCCTCTGCTACAACTAAGTCTTGTTCATCTTTGCCACCTCAGCCCTGGACCCCTGCTCTGCCTACATCAGCCTGAATGAACCGTGGAGGAACACAGACTACCACGTCAACCAGTCCTCCAGCGGGCCCCTGTGTGACAGCCACGTGTCTGGAGAATGGTACCGCTTCACAGGCATGGCCGGGGACGCCATGCCCACCTTCTGCGTCTCTGAGAATCACTGCGGCACACACGCTCCCATCTGGCTCAACGGCAGCCACCCACAACCCCAGGAGGGCATCGTCACCCTGCCTGTGTGTGCCAGCTTCAACGACAACTGCTGCCAGTGGAATGCCAGTGTGGACGTGAAGGCCTGCAGCGGAGGGTACTTTGTATATCGCCTGCCCAGACCCTCTGTCTGCTTCCACGTTTACTGTGGCCGTGAGTGAGCATTATGTGTGATATGCAAACACTCATTTTCTTATCAAATAACCAGACTTACTTTCCGTTTTCTTGTCTATTGTTGTGTTAATAGATATTATTTTGTGTTGCACAGATTTCTATGACATCTGTGATGAGGTGGACTGTGTAGGTCCCACATGTCCCAAGTCTGACTGTCTCTGTACACCTGGATTTGTCCTGGGACCGGACAGACAGACATGCCTGGGTGAGACAGACGGAGAGGGGAGGAGGAGAGGAAGGGAGGGGGAAGATAAGATAAGTTAAGTTGTGTGAGAGACATGGAAGACAGATAGGCTGGAAATGGTTCCTGGATGACAATAACAAGAGAAAAAAACAACATTGTTTTGACATAAGCTGTTTTTATGCTATTTTTATTCAAACTTCCATATTTACTTGACTTAATGGGATAAGATAGAACCATCAGAGACATCAAAACACACCATGAATGATTAAAGTGGTGTAGCCTAATTCTTTAAGAATGAGATTGAGATTTTAACCACGTGGTCCTCCGACTCACCATGTTGAGAGGGATATCATTTCAATTCATTTAGAGTGAAAGTTCATCCTTGACATTAAAGGGTAGTTTTACAAAATCAAATATGACTAAAGGTCTACTGCTTTGATGTCATTGCGCCAGCAGTTCCTGTATAATGAAATGCAGTTTAACACCAATCCAGACTATGCCAACAGTAAGTCATATAGATAGAAAAATGTAGCTTTCAGTAAATCTTTTTTAACTGCATGTCTTCATCAGTGGAAGGAATTATGTCAGCTGAGCAAACTCCATTCAATTCACTACATTTTCTTGACATTTAAACCAGCAACACTTAACACAGTTTTATCCATAACCTTTGGATAACTCCTTTAACAGCTTATTCATTTGTATTCTCTTTTCAACCATCTATCCATGCTTTTAGCTCTTGATTTGGACATTTACCAGTTGCTTTTAGCTTATTTAACTTCTCTGCTCGCTGACGTTTAAAATCCATTTTCTGTTTTATTACATAAGCTACTTGACAATCTTTTCACGTGGGAAACACTCCTCTCGTGTAGCACGTCCCTGTCACTGCTGTCCCAGTCATTCTATCTAGTTTCCATATTAATAGAGTATTTACATATTTATTTACACAGATTTACATATTCTAAACGATGTGATGGGTCTGGATATGATCTTTTTGTATTTGCTGATTCGCTCTTCAATGTGGAGGTGTGTGTGTGTGTGTGTGTGTGTGTGTGTGTGTGTGTGTGTCTCTGTGTGTGTGTGTACACCTAATGATGGGTGTCAGGCATGCAGTGGGAACCTAGCGAGCATGAAAACTCCCATTATCTTATTATTCCCTCATCAACCAAATCTACCTTTCCCCGTCTCAGAAATGACTTCTCCATTTCTCCAACCTAGCTCACTCTTTTCTCCTAGTCCCTTGCTCTCCCACATTTTATTTCACCCATCATTATTTCCTTACCAGTCTCTCAGGCTTACAGTTTCATCTCACTTTTTAAACTCCTTTAAAGTTGGTTTATCATCTTTCTCCCAGGAACACTAAGTGAATTACCTCAAGGGGATAAACCCCACCCATCTGGTTCTCAGTCGATTCAAACAGGACTCATGTGATAATAATACCTGACCCAGCAGTGGTGTGTGTCCATTTTATAGATGTAAATGAGTGTGAGAAGGGCAACAGTGGCTGTGCAGAGGTGTGTGTGAACACCAAAGGCTCCAGACGCTGTGAGTGTGTGCCGGGCCGTGTGCTGGACAAGGACGGACACAGCTGCAGAGGTACATCCAGGTTTTGAAGTGTATATGACACACCAGTCACTAAAGTATGGAGAGATGGGAACAACACACTGTTATTCATCTTTTTTTCTTTCATGCAGAGATAGCCGGCTGTCATGTTAACAATGGAGGCTGCAGCCATGGCTGCTCCTCACTGATGGACTCCTATCAGTGCCATTGTCCCAGAGGGCTGGAGCTGGGGGAGGATAAACGCACATGTCAGGGTGTGTGTGTGTGTGTGTGTGTGTGTGTGTGTGTGTGTGTGTGTGTGTGTGTGTGTGTGTGTGTGTGTGTGTGTGTGTGTGTGTGTGTGTGTGTGTGTGTGTGTGTGTGTGTGTGTGTGTGTGTGTGTGTGTGTGTGTGTGTGTGTGTGTGTGTGTGTGTGTGTGTGTGTGTGTGTGTGTGTGTGTGTGTTCAAACGTGCATGCAGAGTTACATAACCAATCAGATAGCAAGACAAGCTGATATGCACACTTGTATTCAGGGGAGACACTGCAGGGGAATAGAGTTTTATTTTTAATAGATATGAACATGAAACCATGTGATTATATAATTTGGGACCATTTTGTATTACAGCAGGTTATCTGAAATCTTAAGTAACTTTTAGTGATTTTAGGAGAAGTCTACAGACCCGGATAGACACAGTTAGTAAGATAAATGTGTGTTGAGTGTTCTGAAAGAATGAATATTTGCCATACATGTATCACAGTAATCTGACCAATGTTCTAGAAAGTATAGGTTTGGAAAAAATGAATTTCCTCAGGCTTTAACCGAAATTCTAACATTTCAGTGCAGGGTTATATATCTGTCAGGAAAGGGTTCTTAACTATATAACCAGTGAATAATAATCCACAGACCTTTTTACTGAGAAATGAAACTATCCTGCCAATATTATGTTGTTTTATACCAATTTATTTCAGTGTCTTTTATGATAGCACAAGACAGGTAATTGTCATTTTAATATGGCTTTATCTGCAGATTTCTTTACGGATTAAACAATAACAGCTTATTATAAATATATATGTTTAAAAGTAGTGTAACATCTCTCAAAGGTGACACCCTCAGATCACATTTTGTTCAATTTAAGGTTGCAAACAATTATTATTTTCATTATCAATGTACAATCATTTCTCAATAATCTATCTCTATTAGTGTTTTCATGTACATGGCTGACAGAAATATTGTATTGATTATTTTAATCTCTTTGTTGTTGTATCCATGCGTTTTTGCCATTTCATTGGACCATAATAGTGTCATATATTTCTCTTTGTTTGTTTTGTTTCCTGCAGTGCCAGTCCAGTGTGATTCCGGCTCTATAGTTGTGTCAGTTCCTAAGGACCTGGTCGAAGGCCTGGAGCTCACCCTGTCCAACTCGTCTTGTCGAGGTGTCTCCAATGGCACCCACATAAACCTCAGCTTCAGCCTCAAGACCTGCGGCACGGTGGTGGAGGTCTGAGGCCTTGTGATGAAATGTTTTAGACTGAATGGGCTCAGGGTTTATTCTTATAACAATGTTAAAGTGCTTTGCCTTAAATGGGATTTGTGTGAGGTTGTCACAAACTGAAAAAGCTATTAAAACAATTGTAAACTGAACGTTGACCCCCAGGTGACAGATGACAAGATTGTGGGGACCAACCTGGTGACGGGCCTCCCGAGGAACAGCCCAGGCAGCAGCAGGGACTTGATCGTCCGCACCAGCAAGTTACTGCTCCCGGTCACCTGCGAGTTCCCCAGGGAATACCAAGTGTCGGACGGATACCAGGCCAGTCAGCGCAGCTCGGCCCTGGAGCTGGCAGGCCACAGCAAGGGAGTCTTCCCCTTCTCCCTGGAGCTCTTCAAGAGTGCAGAGTTCTCGGAGCCCTACCAAACCCCGCCCCAGCTTCGCCTGCACGACTCCCTGTTCTTCGGGGTGGAGCCGAGGGAGAGAGTGGAGGGCCTCTCTGCACTGGTGGAGAGCTGCTTCGCCACACCAGGGCCAAACGCTGACCAGGCCCTCAAGTATTACCTCATCAAAGACGGGTAAATATTGTGGACGTTGATGTTGTACACTTATTGCAGAGGTGTAGAGCTAGAACCATACACTGTATATATAAAAGCTAGAACTGCTGCTACTTTTTTTAAGAAAAGGTTTCTGCTTAGCTAATGCAATAATAAAGGATTAAAGCTAGACCAAACTCAACATACATTTACATTTTGCATGTATCGGGTATGTGTTCCAAGAAAAAATCATTAAAAAATACAAAACAGGTTTGTTTATATTAACTATAGGATTAAACCCACTGTGGCTGACCAGAAATAAAAGCATTATTGATGGAGAATCAACGCTATATCATCAGAAAATATTTACCAAGAGGTACAGCTATGAACAATTGTCATCAGACTAAAAGTAAGTATGTTGTTATGTAATGTGGGTGTACTGACCCTTTAAAAAGCTCAAGCACACAATGAAAACTGCAATATTCCCTCGGTTTTATATTGTCCTATTAATATGAGAAATGCATTTGGGCCTGCGACCTTTATGGCCCTTGTAATAAACGTAAACAGGACGAGCTGCTGTGTTTCCACAAAGCGCTAGCATCCGCTGCTCAACAGTTATAGGACAGGGAGAATCCCCCACACAAGGAAATGTCAAATGAAAACTGCCACTGGCCTCTTACTCTGATTGATGTGGAAAGCAACTAAATACTATTTTGAGTGGAAAATGGGAAAGCCAAAACAGCCTTATTATGCGGGGAACACCGAATCTCCACCGCTACTCTAGTCCATTAGGGCACGGCTATTTTGGTGATATAAAAAATACAACAGTGCTTCAATATTTTTCCCTCTCTTAATCAGGTGTATCTCTGATGAAACTGTGACACAGTACTCATCAAAGGACCAGCTCTCTAAGCACTACCAGGTCCCCGTCTTCAAGTTTGTTGGCAAGGACAACAAAGTGAGTAAAAAAAGAAGCATGCTGGGAGCCAGCTGGCATGTAGGTGTGGTATTATGCCTGTGTAGCACTATACTGTAAGGACTGTTTTCACTGACTGATTGTTCTTCTCTAAGCGTATTCAGAACTAGCTTGTCTCCTGTGTTTGCAGCAAGTGTTCCTCCACTGCCAGGTGTTGGTATGCGGGGCGGGGGACTCCCACTGCTCTCAGCGTTGCCGGGGGCGCGTCCGCCGCCAGGCTCGTACCAAACCTCAGGAGAAACACACACTGAGTGGAGGCCCCATCTTCATCCTGCCTGATCCGTGATGCTAACATGTCACCATCAACACGCACAGTCAGAAACAACACCATGCAGAGTCATATTCACTTTAAAGCAGATGAACTGACCATTTCAGTTTATTTATTTAAATACACATATACATCATATATGCAGATGTACAGTATATACACTCTAGTTTATCCCTAGTTCCAGTGGCAGTTACATTGCTTTAGATTCTGTGTATTACAATAAAACCGAGTTTGTGGTGTGTCACTGCCACTTTGCCACAAGTGAATGACATTTCTATTAGAACTCATTCTAATAGAAATGTAGAAAAGGGGCCACATTTGATTTGTAACAACTGTAGCATGAATTATGTTTTTCTAGGTCACACTTTGAGGCATTTCTCAAGCTTGATTACAGTTTAAGGAATTTGTAGATTTATAGAAGTTGTTTATATTTCACACCATCACTGACTTAAAACAATACATGAACTCCGATAGATGTATTCTGACTCATTTGCATGCCAGTGCTGTGGGAAAGAGATATCAGTGTGCCGAGCCTGAAAATGATGCATACGCTTCATCACTGACAATTAATCCAGAGTTAATCACGTCATTTGAACTGCAATTAGTCATGTATTCATTAATAAAAACAGACAAAACACTAGCAAATAACTTAAATAAAAAAAAACACCAGCCGTAATAGGCATTACATTCATTTGACACTGACTTAATCTCTAAGCAGACTACCTTGATAAATAGCATCACGCAACATAGCGTCATAGTTGATAAATTGTGTCTCTCCATCTAGAGGAAATTAATCCAACTACAATATCCTTCCCATCAGGCACTTTGTTTGGAGTCATCATAGTAATTTATGGTAATGGAGTCATAGAGGCCTAAAAATGGCCTAATTTGAAATGGAGTATGGAGAGTAATATGCATACGCAGTTAATTACGATTTGGAAAGTCATATCCAGACACCTAATATATGTCAGTACTGCTTATGAATAAAACCTGTAAAAAAACTGTTAATTTGCATTCTCCATTTGTCTGTTTTTCCTTTTTTGAAGTCCCAAGCTGTGGACATTGAGAGGGTTCTTGTGAAGTATCTTTTCTTTGAAGCTTATAAATACACCGTATAATATGTGACTCAGTTATTCATCCATGAAAACATCCAGGGGTTTTGTCCACAGTGTTCTGTGTCACAGTTCATCCCTCTCCTCTCCCTCGCAGACACACGCCGCCCTCTGGCTGCTCATGTAAGGCCTGCATCCCAGAGTCCCCACCGTGCTGTGCAGGGCGTCTGCCATCGATTCACAGGCTAGAGGGGAAAAGAAAGAGAAATAGACAAAAGGAGGAGGAATGGGTTTAATTTCCTTTTTGATATCTCACAGTTTACATGAGAGGTTCCCTGGTGGTCATATTAATTTGTGTAAATATCTGCAGTTATCTCACCTTTCACCTTGGACACAAAGCCCAGACTCTTCCTTAGGTCGGAGCAGATGCCATGCACACACAGGCGAAACTCGGAATCACAGTCTTTCTTGCTTACGCCGCAAGTGTCGTAGCACATGTCCAGCATGTCACAGCAGTTTGTCATAGCAGGGATCCCCATGTCAAGCTTTAAAAAGGGAACACTTTATTATGTCAGTGCAGTTTACTAATACAGAGGCTAGCATCTACAGCAGTGGTTCCCGACCTAGGGGGCGCCAAAGATCACAGGGGGGGGCCAGGCCTCAGATGATTTAATGCCAAATATCATATTTAGACTTTTTTTTTTTTTTTTTGTATATAATTGTAACGCAATACATGATTGTCACTAAAAGGACATTACAATAAAATATAAAAAATAATTGATTAATTCATTTTAATAAAAATTCAAGTTAGTAGCTATTAAAGGCATAAAAAGACAGCAATGTATAATTCTTTCTTTAATAGAAATGTTTCTTCTGCCCGTAAAGTGTCCAGGCTTGTCTGGATAAGCGCATTTTTTAAACATAGTCATTGTCCATGCCGGTTTCAGTTGGATTATTTGTCACAGTTGCTCCGATCAGATTGGTCTCCTCCATTTTGTAGATTATTTACAACTTTTGAATCCACATAAACACATCGGCAAAATCCGGCTTACTTTGAGCATGTGTTTTAAACAGTTTAATCCCTTTGTGAATTTGCCGATGTGTTTATGTGGATTCAAAAGTTGTAAATAATCTACAAAATNAAAATCATTACTACTGAGTGCTATGGGAATAGAAGGCTCAGTCGAGCTGTGGCTCTCTGTCAGCCTGGCTACAGTGCTGAAAAGAAATCTTGCATTATTCTTATTCTCATCTATTAATGAGTGTCAGACTGTGTGACCTTTATCAAAACAACGTGAAGATGGTTTGAAGTTTGCGAGATCCTTGATAAAGGTCACAGGCTGAAAGGCCAGCGTGAGATGTGCCCAAATGATCCTTCCTCATCCTTTAATTCCTCTCAAGCATCTCCCACTGCTCGAGAGAAACACATTGTCAACAAAGTACGGCAGCAATATAACATCACCATACAAAGCCAGTTGATAGCTGATGGGAAAGATATGACAATTATCTGAACAAAGCAATACAAATGACTCCCAAAGTTTCATACAACTTTAAATCATATTAAATAACTAAAGTACATGAAAAAGGGCACTGAGGTAGAGAGATTGAACTCTCAAAAGAAGCTACATTTCAGAGGACCAGCATGTGTCTTGGTAAAGAGGACAATTCTCATATTTTGGAAAGTGAAAACTGGCCTCGGGAATACCTGGACTTGGTCTAAATGGCACAATCAGCTACAAGGCTTTTTTCTTAGTCTTAATTCGACTTTTATTAGGTAATTATTTAACATTACACACTTTATCTAAGCAATGCAAATGACCTTGAGTCAATCAAATCAAAGTGGGAGGTGGGGGGGGGGGGGGGAAGATATTTGCAACCAGGAGATGGTGCTGCTTCCTCTTCATCAGGAGTCACATACCTTCACTGTTGTTATGAAACAGCTGACTTCATTCCCTGTATTTTATATACCAAAAATAAAAAAACATTACTCCAATGCTGTTATTTCTCTTCCCCCCCTCCCAGCTACATTTACTTCACTTTAATGATGTGTGGTTTGAAATGATATAATGTGTGACTGTTCTTTGTTGTGTATGTGGTTGTACTTTTGTATATGTTTGTATATATTTGTGAAATAAAAATGAAAAAATGTGCCGAGAGTTAAAAAGGAAACCAAAGCACTTCCATGTTCCATGTGTGTTTTAAGTCTTTAAAACCCAAATATAGCAATGAGATTATTACACTATTACTTTGATGTGTTTGAGAGCCACAGAGAATGAGAGGATTACAGTAATTATAGAAGCTTTTTTTCTATTGTATTGATATGAGGGGACCTTTGCCCCCAGCATGAGCGATTGCCTTGCTGTCTGCCACTGTCTGATCATGGGTCAAAGTCTGCTCCCCAGTGGCAGAGCCAGTAGGATCACAGTGTTTTGTCCCTCACTGTCTCGCTCTTCTCCCTCTGTTAACAACACCTCGCCTGAGGACTGCTTCCTCTGCTTGGATTGTCACCAGCTTACCACCATGCTGTTCCGGACTGTGCTTCTGCTCACCTTATGCGTGTCCACAGGCATGAGTGCCACTTTAGGCTTCTACCTGGCTCAAGCAAAGGAGAAGGAAGCTCCATCTGTGGAGACCGTCACTCATGGGATTGTGGAAGCTGCCCCTGTAAGCACAGCTGAAGAACATGTTGTTCCTGCAGATCCAAAAGAAGATGATCCACCTGGGGATGAGGAACATGTCGCTCTTTCAGATCCAAAAGAAGATGATCCACCTGCTGAGGAGGTACATGTCGCTCCTGCAAATCCCCAAGCAGATGATCCACCTGCGAATGAGGAAGATGTAGCTCTGGCAGATCCCAAAGAAGAGGATCCATTTGCAGCTGAGGAACCTGAAGCAAATACCATCGTTGGGGACAATCGAGTGGCTGATATACTTGAAGTGGACAACGTAGCAGCTGGTGAACCAGAAGTGGATGTGCCTGTAGCAGAAGAGCCAGAGACACGCAGTGATGACGCTGCTCTGGAAGATCTTACTGAAGCTGAAGCAGTCACCCAGGAGCAACATGAGGAAGAGGAGGACAACGACATCAAACCAGTCCAGACAGAGCAGTCCCAGGACGAGCTCGAAGCAGCAGAAGAAGAAAAAGAAGAAGATAACAGCTGGAGCTTCTACTCAATTAGAAATAGATTCCAGTCTATGAACGGATACTACAACTCCCTGGTGGAGCTTGTGGGGGGACGCGATGGTGTGTGTCAGTACCGCTGCAAATATGGTAAGAAGGAAGTCTTGAATACTGTCATTTATGAGAACAAGTATTTTAGTGGCCTGCAAATGGGCCTCAGAGAGAGCTAGATAGTCAAGGTTGTTGTTTCTGTTTTCAAATGATCCAAAACAAATATTTTTAAACGACTTTCAAATGATTATTATGTCGTCCACATCCCATAATCCTTCTGTTGCTGCGTATTTGTAATCTCAGCACACTTTAAGTGTCAGATCAATCACTCTGCTGTCTGATATCAGCTTCCTATGTACAACATGCTAGGCCTGCAGGCTGCTGATAGGCCGAATACATCCTGGTTATCAGTCTGAGAGGTAGAGGTACAGACCCACAATCAATACAGATGTTCTAAAAACAAAAGTGACATCTTATCTGTGAAACTACGCACACTCAGTAATAGAGATATAGTGTGGATTCTTGAGTACGACATTAGTGGTTAATGTACCTTTTCTTTAGTTTGAACATTAAATGGTTCTTCTGTTTTTTCGTAGGAGAAATTCCTCAACCTCGTCCCGGCTACCAGCTCCCAGAGCCCAACGGCTGCAGCTCCTCTCTGGTTGGATTCCAGGTGAATGACGCAGTAGGTGGCCTGTTTATAGCACCAACAGCCCAAACATACATCATTTAAGGAACACTTCACACTCAAAAGGACCATTTGTGTATCAATTACCCACCCTGTGTTACTTTCAACTTTGAATGAAAATTAACCCTTCATGTAAGAATAATAAGAATACTCAAAATGGAGAAGGGTTAGGGTTAGCCTTGATAACCTATAATAACTTTTTCTCCTGTTCACTTATTCTCAAACACATGCATTTTTGCTTAAACCTTACTATTATTATACTTATGCAGCAGTGGCAGGAAACTTATGTTTTTCGAAAACCTTTCTCCGTTTATTGTAATCTTCTTTCTTCACCGCGGTAGCATGCGAGACATTTCTTCAAAAGTAACACAGATGAGTCATTTTAGTTTTAATTTTTAAGATAAAGTAGCCTATAACTTTTAAGCTCATAATGTAGCTAACAACACATGCTGTAGATCAGTGGTTCCCAACCTTTTTTCCC